TGAATATGCCAGGTATTAGCAAGGATGTGGAGCATAAGTTGTCTGAGTAGAAGTGTAAGTTGGTACAACTATTTTGGAAAGTTATTTGGCATTATTTATTAAAGTTGCACTTATATATACCCCGTGACAGTATATTTAGTCACAGGGAAATAGCTCAGATGTCCATCGGCAGCATAATGGAGAAATAAACTATGGAATATTCTTACTATGAAACACTATACTGTAACGAATGTGAGTGAACTGCTACTATATCCAACAACACAGATAAATCTCACAGGCATAGAATGGAGTGAAAGAAGACAGACACCACAGGCACTGGGCTGGTGGGGGCTTGCCCAGGGTGGGAATGGCTCGGGGGGAGGGTCAATTGGGGAAAAAGAAGACATATGTGCAACTTTGGACAATAAAAAAGAAGATAGACACCGAAGAATATATATTATGTAATGACATTCATTTAATGTCGAAACCAGAAAAATTAATGTGTGATGTTACTCCAGTCCACTAGTCACCTGATGGGGGTAGGAGGAGACTTTGTGACTAGAGAAGGCAAAAGGAGGATTCTGGGATGCTGATAAATGTTGGTTAGGGTATTTTTGTTTGATAGTTTGTTTTAACTTTGTGGTAGTTACACTGAGGTGTTCACATTGTGGTTAATCATCTAATTGTACATTTCTTATTTGTGCACTTTTATGGTTGTATGTTATGTTTCAATGAAGCATTAAAAATATTGACTGATACACACCAATTAGAATTGCTGAAATAAAACAATACCAAGTGCTGGTGAGCATGGAATCATAAGCATTGCATGTGTGAATACAAAATGGTACTGTCACTTTGAAAAATAGTCTGGCAGTTTCCTGCAGCTAAACATACACTTATCCAGTGATTCTGTTTCTTGGTATTTACCCTAAATTAATGAAAACCTAATGTCCTCTAAGAAACTTGTGTGTGAATGTTTTAGTAGCTTTATTATTAAAAACTTGGGGAAAACTAAGGAATGGATAAACTTATACACCCATGTCCGGAATACTAGTCAGCAATAAAAAATTCCATACTATTGTTAATGCAACAACATTGGCAAGTCTCAAAGTCATTGTGCTAAGAGAAAGAAGCCAGGCTCAAAAAGGGTATATTCCTTTTTTATTCCGTTTATACTATATTCTGGAAAAAGTAAATCTACATAGGGCAGAGAACAGATGAGTAGTTGCCTAGGAGTTGGGGAGGAATTGGCTGGAAAGGGGTACTTTGACTGATCCAATCATAGACTATATGCATCCTATATAATAAAAGGCTAATATGCAAATTGTCCCCTCAACTAGGAGTTCAACCAGGGGATGGGACCAGCCCACCAATCACCATTGATCCCCCTCCCCCAGCTGGCCCGCCCCCAATCGGCTCCAATCGTGGCGGGCCGGCTGGACCCCACCCATGCACGAATTCATGTACTGGGCCTCTAGTTTGTATATAAACCTGATGCCTAGTTCTAGCTTCAGAATGTTAACTCGGTCTGAGGGCGAGACTCAGGTATTGCTATTTGTTTCAAACTTTTCCAGGTGATTTCACTGAGTAGTCAGGGTTGAGAGTTGCTGAGCTACATAAATCTTCTGGAAAACTCCAAGAGAACATTGCCTTTTGACTTTAGGTTTCACTGTCTTCAATAGCCGACTAAAAACACTGGACAGAGGTTGAGCATCAGGTGAAGTAATTATTGTATAGGGGTGTGTGCTATCCCACTTTTCCCACTGATGGCAAAGAGACATTAGGCAGGCTGTTATTGTTTTTATCACTTTGCTGCTGCTGACATTGTTCAAACTGCTGATTATGAAAACAACATTAAAAAAGGCTTGAACAGTTTGATTTATTTAAACCATTATATTTGAGATGATATTCTGGGCAGTACTTTATTGTTCTTATATAGCCATGACATTTTCATCCTTTTTTATGGTCACCTTGTGAATAGACCTGACTCAGGGCTGTGGTCCCAATTATACCACTAGGTGTCACCAGGAAGTGATGAATGGGTAAACAGAAGGACCTGAAGATAAAATGTGATGGAGAAATGTGAGTGCTTATTTTCCAGGCCTAAAGGGCTCTGAAGGAGGCACCTTAATGCAGAGGATCTAGAGGAGGGCTGCAATATGTGTTGAAAGTTTTCCCCAGCTTTTTAGGGATTCCCTGTTCTTTCTGGTTTTGGGCTGCTTCTGTGACCTTTCTTTATTTAACCTTATCTTTGCCTTTGAGGTTTTTCTAAAATGTCTATCCTTTGGCCGAAACTGGTTTGGCTCAGTGGTAGAGCGCCGGTCTGCGGACTGAAAGGTCCCGGGTTCAATTCTGGTCAAGGATATGTACCTTGGTTGCGGGCACATCCCCAGTAGGGGGGGGTGCAAGAGGCAACTGGACGTTGATTCTCTCTCATCAACGTTTCTAGCTTTCTATCTCCCTTCCTCTCTGTAAAAAATCAATAAAATATATATATTTTTAAAAAGTATAGGAGCCAGAAAACTTCTAAAAAAAATTTAAAAAATAATAAAATAAAATAAAATGTCTATACTTTGGCATTAGATAGCCTTCTGTGTCATATTACTTTTCCTGAAACCTTTTCCCTAAGTATAATCTATTCTGATATAAAATCTTTTTAATTTAAATTGTTTATTGCTGAAAGTATTACATGTCTCCTTTTTCCCCTATTGACTTTTCCCCAGCTGCTCCCGCTCCTCCCCCTCCCCCATATAAAACTTTTAAAATAAATTCTTCTGACCTCCATTCCCCTCCTGTGTATTTTCTCACGTGTTGTCAGCAGAACTTATCAGTCCTCATAGTTTCTGAGGCTGAATATGAATAGAAAGGGTGGAAGAAGGTTAGCCAGATAAGCCAGGTTAGACCTAAGGCAGTGAGTTAAAGCTGGTCTTTCTGTATATATGTATATTGCATGAAATTCATACACTTGTGGAGGTCCCTCAGTCTGGCCTATGCCCTCTCTCAGTCCGGGAGCCTTCGGGGGATGTCTGATTGATGGCTTAGGCCCGCTTCCCCTGGGGCACGGGCCTGAGCCATCATTCAGACATTCTTAGCATTGCCATGGAGGCGGGAGCTCCCGCCATCACTGCTGCACTCGCCAGCCATGAGCCAGCTTCTGGCTGAGTGTTGGTACCCCTGTGGAAGTGCACTGACCACCAGGGGGCAGCTCCTGCGTTGAGCATCTGCCCCTGGCAGTCAGTGTGCATCACAGCAGCTGGTCGTTCTGCCATTTGGTCAATTTGTATATTAGCTTTTTATTATACAGGATAGCCATACTCTGCTTTCTCTCCCTCTTTCTGCTTGAGCCAAATGATATAAAACCAGAAACAAGGGCCTAATGCTAGAACAGAGCTGAGATCCGATCTCTATTGCCCTTCATTTTCTGTACCTTGTGGTCAAGCCCCCATTTCTCATATTTGGGTTAAACAAGTAATTGTTGTAGCTAAAAGGAGATAACTGTAGTTACCAACATAAACATAAATCTTAGTACCAATTCAGCTGTGAGCTTCATCTCTGGTTTGTCCCCCAAAGTTAATCCTTGATATGGATTAAAATGCCCACTTGTTTCTTTAAACTCTAAATTCTGCATTCCCATTTGGCATCTCTTAGCTAACCCAGCTTCACATAATATCCCATTGCATTTATAGGCTGTGCTTTTATTTGCCTTGTGTTTTGCTTTCTGCTCTCAGGTGCTAAACATTTTCATATCGATTTTGCTCTTCGTATATTTATCTTGCTGCAAGAGGCTGAGCATAGAATTGAAATGATTGTTGATAAATCAAGCCAGATCATACCCTGTTTCCCCGAAAATAAGACAGTGTCTTATATTAATTTTTTCTCCCAAAGTTGCGCTAGATCTTATTTTCAGGGGATGTCTTATCTTTCCATGCACTAGGTCTTATTTTTGGAGGATGTCTTATTTTCGGGGAAACATGGTAGTTATAGTAGAGAGCACTTATATAATGCATACCATGTGCTAGACACTTTTCTAAGTATATTACATATGTTATCTCATTAAATCCACACAAACACCATGAGGGAGAGACTATTATTATTTTCTGTTTTATAGATGTGGTAACTGAGGCATAAAGAGGTTAAGAAACGTGCCTAAGTCCCACTGTTGTTAAGTGATGGAGCCAGATCACAAACGTAGGCAGTCTGACTCCAGGGTCCATGCTCTTAACTCTGAACCATGATTTAGTTATAACCAGAAAGCATTTATATATGAGTCACTATGCTAAATGTTTTACATGTATTTTCTCATTTCTTCCTCACAGGAATCATATGAGGTAGGTTCTATGCCAGCCCTATGTTACAGACAAAACCGTTTAAGTAAATTGCTGAAGGCCATGCAACTAATAAGCCCAGTAGGTTAAGAGCCCAAATCTCTCTGAGTCCAGAGCTCCAGCTCTTCACCTCCATGCTCACGGACCTCTCGTGCTGTTAAGCGGGTCAGATCTCACCTGCGGTTTGACCCAGGACAAGTGTTGGCACTCTTTTTTTATTTATGTGTATTGGAAAGCACTCTGTTCACTCACCAGTGTGTTCCGGGGGCACATGCAGAGAGGGTGCTTGCTTGGCTTTCCTGGTCAAGACTATCCTTTTGAGCTTTATCATTAGATGCCACTTTCTTTACGCATAGCCGTTTTTTTCAGTCTTGAGTCAATAGGAGCTATTAAATTTCATTTTCTTTCAATGCTACTGCATTTATTTGAGTAATTCATCCACTAGTAATAAGGGATTCCCGCCTGTTACACAGGCAGTTCTCTGTGGAGGCATGAATGTGAAATACAGGTAAAAAGCCAACGTGCTGTTTGAAGAATGCTGTTTCTAAGGATGGTGGTTTATGAGCCTGCCTTTTCTATTTGTTCTCAAGGGTTTTCCTTCTGAAAAGCCTGAAGGTTTTGTAGCAGCAGGGGAGACATTCCATTAAGAGGAGGGAAATCATGAAACTTATTTTGTCTGTCTTTCCCTTTTCCCAGAGTCTGAATGGCGTTTGGCTGAACAGAGTACGCCTAGCGCCTTTAGAGGTGTATTCCCTCCACACGGGAGACCGTGTTCAGCTTGGGGTGCCTCTGGAAAACAAGGAGAGTGCCGAGTATGAATATGAAGTTACTGAAGAAGACTGGGAGAAGCTGTATCCATATCTTGCCCCAACGAACGATCAGATTTTGGGGAAAAATAAGGGCTTGAGAACTAAAAGGAAATGTAGTTTGGATGAATTAGAGGGTCCTGAAGCTCAAGGCCCCTCACAATTGAAATTCAAAATGAACAAAGTGTCTTGTGAACCTGGCCAACCACTGAAGTCACATGGGAAAGGTGAAATGGCCAGTGGACCCTCTGAACATTTGGAACCTCAGGTGACTTCTCTCGAGCCATGTGAGAACACCACAGGGGATCACGTTCTCTCTGGCCCCACCAAAGTCCTGGCGCTGCATCCTAACAAGCAGAAAGCCCCAAACACGTCAGTATCTCAGAGCCGCTTGCAGCTGTTCAAGGTGACCATGTCTAGGATTCTGAAGCTCAAAACACAGATGCAGGAAAAGCAAGTAGCTGTTCTGAATGAGAAAAAGCAGACCCAAAAAGGGGACTCAAAGAATATTGTGCAAATGGAGCAGGAACTGCAGGATTTACAGTCTCAGCTTTGTGCAGAGCAGGCCCAGCAGCAGGCCAGAGTGGAGCAGCTAGAGAAGACTTTCGAGGAAGAGCAGCAGTATCTCCAGGTACCTGCACAGGAGGGAAGGGCAAGAGTGCGCTCCGGGGGGGGGGGGGGGGGGGGGGGGGGATAGGTCTTTATGAGCCTCTGGATCAGGGACCTAACGCTGAGCGCCAGGGACAGCAGATGGAATGGGAACAGAAAACTTCGAGGTAAGAGAAGGGTTGAGTCAGAAGTTAAGGCTTCAGTATAGTTAGGCCAAGAACCAGAGCCGGGTGCCAAGATGGGGTAAGGTGACTGGCATAGCCCGCCCCAGCTTGTAACTGATCTCAGGATGTAAAGATGGGGCATTTCAGAACTGAGGTAAATTCAGGGGGTTGGATGAAGGTTCAAGATGCCACAAACCACAGCACTTACTCTCCACTTAAACCAATAGCTGTCCTCATGAGTTTTGTGTGTGTGCTTTTTTTGTGTGTGTGTTTTTGTTGTTGTTTTGTCAAAGCCAAATCAGCCCCAAGGCAGGCATAGGCCAGCTGGTTAGTATGCCCTTGATGTACCTGTTAACTTGTTAGCACTGTACCGAACCTAGGAAGTGGGAGGCACAAAATGCTTTCTGTCCGTCCTGAGGAGCCAGCATGGACGAAACAGGTCCACCATGATGCAGTTGTTGGGTTGGATGATAAGCCACCTTCCACAGGGCCTTTAGCGAGAAGGCTAAATAAAGACTCTTAGCGGTGTCAAGATAAGGTCAAATGTGTCATCCCCGTCATTTTCTTAGATGACAAGCTGTTGTAAAAAGCTTCTAGGCTGGAGCTGATCCTTGCTCAAAACATCAGTTCCACAGGTTTACTCCTACCCACTTGCTCAGGTAATATTGAATGTCAAGACTTCCCCACTGTTGACTAGATCTAAGACAGACCAGTGAGGATTGCGGTGAATAAGCTATCTCTTGTTTACTTTGTTCAGGGCAAGGAACAACCAGTAGTGTTCTCTCATTTCTGAACAATTTATCAGATTCATTCTAATCGCTTGTCGCCTGGAACCGATAGATTAGCCCAGGCCATGGATTAACAAGGTCTTTCCAAGGGGACACACTGCTATGAGTGCCTTTTTGCAGCCTGGACTAAGTTCTTGAAATTGACAGAGGGAGGTTTATCTCTGCATATGTGCTATATGCCGCCATTCCTGCAGCAGAACTCTGTAAGGGCTAATGTGTTCAGGAATGAGAGTGACTGTTAGTATTTGTGGCTGCTCTAGCATGTTTGAAGGAATAGCTGTAAGTCTTTTTTCTGCCAAAATGGTAAAGAAAGGCCAAAGCACTGGTTAAGAAAATTTCTCAAGATAGGAGAAGCTCACATATAAAGACTCATAGTATCTAGTCCTTTATTTATTGGTTGGATTTCCCTCTGCCACAGGCCCTAGGGATTTATTCTACCCCGACTACTTGTTCAGAAACTCATTTAACCCTTCCTGCTTCATACAGATGCTTTCTTTCTTTCTTTCTTTCTTTTTTTTTTAAGCACCCATGTTGCTTGGTTCTCTGCTTGGGTTCAAGTGGTTATAAAGATGCTTTGTAAATGTGTCATACCTATAAAATAAGCATAACCATTTAAATCAGTATATTTCAATTAGAGAATAATTTTAAGTTGGCATATTAGATGGATAGATAATTCTTTCAGGAGGGAAGGGCCCAGAGGTTGTGTGGAAGGTGCTGGTCATAGGGTAATGATGTGGAGGGCACCCTGTTGGGGGGTGACGGGGGAAATACAGCTTAAGTTCGGCAAAGGAGGAGGAGCCGTTCAAGGCTGGAAGTGGTAGAGACTCAGTGTGAGAGAGGGAGGTGCCCAAAATAAAGAGGAGGAATCTATATGTGCCGGCAGCCTGGGCATGGTGCTTAAGATGGTTGGCAACTCAGAACCTTTCAATTAACATCCTTTGAGGAGTCACCACATTTGTGGGAAATTAATCCAGAGTAGTTTCTCCAGAACAGCCTGAGTAGTGGCTTACAAGTGGCAGCCCTGAGGCGAACAGTATTTAAGCAGTTAACTCTTCTTAGATCCCTTGCTGCCAACAGCTTGAGTAAAATGGGAAATTTTCCACCTGCTTCCTGCCCCCTGTTGCTTCCAGATGTTCATGCTGGCTGGTCTGCTCTGCTTGCTGCTGGATTTTGTTGCTTTTTCCCTCTCTGCCGGGAAACCTTCCATTTTGTTTTTGGTTTTGCAGAGTTTGGAGAAAGAGCAAGGAGAAGAGAACCTGAAGCAACAGCTGGCCCAGGCTCTGCAGGAGGTAAGTTAGCTCTTGCTATGGTGGAGTGGGGGCAGCCAGGCTTCTCATGGCCACTGGCTGCCTCTGCTGCTTAGCGCACACCTCCACGGCACCTCCAGTCTAAAGAGAGCAGGTGACAGCTGCTCACACCATCAGGTCGGAGACTGGAGCCTCACAGACATGCCAGACCTCAGCATGGAAACTCACATCTTCATCTGAGCAGAAGCTGCTCTGGTGAAGATGGAATGGAGCCAGTAGCAATCAGGAGGCTCTGGGGAAGGCGAGGTCAGCAAAGGCGAATCGTGAGCCAGGCCTTGGCCACCACCGAGGCCTGCAAGGCTTCCATTCTGTCACCAATCCTGAGCTGAAGATGTCCAGAACCCATTCGAGAATGTGCAGTTTAACAGTCAGCAAAACATCCCGATTTACTGAAAAGGCAGGGCTCACAGGAATAAAATTCTCCTAAAAGGTAGCTTGTAATTTTTTATTTAATTTGACTACTTTTCTCATCTGATTATTTTTATAAAACTTTTTTGCATCTTTAAAACCTGTTTTGTCTTCTATTCTTTATGTGTTAGAAGTAGTAATTTGATGCAAGTTTAGTCGGGCTAGTGGATGGTTGTCTCCTTGAGAAAAGTGAGTGATCGCATTAGAGTTTGTTTAGGATAATTGATCCTTATGGTTCTTTTATTGCATGCCTGCCTCCAACCTTCTTGCAGTGCTAACAGTCACATGCGATTAAAAGCTTGGGAAGTGCCTGCCTTGATTTCTTGAGAGGTGCACAGGCAGCTCTGGGAAGAACTAGGTGAAAATTCCATTTGCTTGGAATTTTATTTTCTAAGTTTGTTTACTTTCTAGAGTGAGAGGGTAGGCATGCTTCCCATGTAGATGGTTATTAAGTTAATGTTCAGATACTGTTTTGAACTTGACTGGAAAAGAGAAAGGTTCTGCTGCTTGGAAATCCCTGAGGGATCACTGCGTACTCCGCATCCACAACTCCTCACCTCTCCTGAAACAGACAGGAAAACACTGTCACTCAGCATGAGGTGCCGGGCCAGTCTCCGCTCATTAGCCTCAAATGGGTACTTCTAGGTCATGGTTCTATGCCAGCATGCCTGGGGGACATAGCTCTCTCTCAACTGAAACGTGTTGGTTCTTCTGGAACTGCTCTTTTTCATTTACCAGATCATTATATCAACTGGGCTTACATAAAGGTTTACAACTTTTCTGAATGCTTTCTTAGCTGTTACTAGTGGCTTGGTCCATGAAATTCATACATGGGGTCTTGGGGGTGTTCCTCAGCCCAGCCTGTACCCTCTCCAATCTGGGACCCCTCAGGGGATGCCCCACTGCTGGCATCAGGCCTAAACCAGCAGTCAGACATCCCTCTCGTAATCTGGGACTGCTGGCTCCTAGCTCACCTGCCTGTCTGCCTGATCTCCCCTAACCACTCTGCCTGCTGACCTGATCACCCCCAACTGTCCTCCCCTCCTGGCCTCATTGCCCCTAACCGCCTCTGCCTCCGCCCCTGCCACCATGGCTTTGTCCAAAAGGATGTCTAAAAGGTCTCCAAGAAGGTCGCCCAGTCTAATTAGCATATTACTCTTTTATTAGTATAGATAGAGGCCTGGTGGGTCGGGGCTGGCTGGTCTGCCCTGAATGGTGTCCCAGATCAGGTTGGGGGTCCCCTTAGGAGGCGGGGCCGGCCTGGGTGAGGGGCCTGGGGTGGTTTGTGCAGGCTAGCCACACCCCCATTGGGGTGGGAGAACCCACTGGAGGCAGTGCCAGCTTGACTGAGAGGCTGGGGTAGTTTGCAAGCCAGCCATGCTCTCATCGGGGTGGGGGTCTCCACTGGGAGGCCTGACTAGCCTGGGTGATGGACTGAGGGACATTTGCAGATGGGCATGCTCCCATCGGGGTGAGGGTCCCCTCTGGGGGGCATGGCCAGACTGGGCGAGGGACTGAGGGCCATTTGCAGGATGGTCATGCCCCCGTTGGGATGAGGGTCCCCCTGGGGGACATGGCCAGCCTGGGCTAGGGTCCGAGAGCCATTTGGGGGCAGTTTGCAGGCTGGCCAAGCCACCGGCTTTGTCCAGAGGGACGTTTGGAACATCTTCTGGTCTAATTAGCATATTACCCTTTTATTAGTATAGATTTTATTATTAACACCGATATGGGAGAGGTACCTGTTTTCCTATTTTATAGGTGAGAGAGTTACAACACATCTAATTAGTAGTCAAAATGAACGAATACCCAGGCCATTTGTTATAACTGCTTTTCTCAGGCAATCACACATTTTAAAGTTTCTTTCTTGAGTAATATCTTTTTAGAAATACAAAAAGGATGTGGTTTAAAGTATAAGCTACACTTATGCACAGGGAGTTCAGAAATTAGGTTTCATAGAAGTGGAACCACTTGGCACTCATCTAGGCAGTTAAGTCCCCATGAGCAAGCTGTTAACTCTTGGGCACGCCAGGTTCCAGAAAATGCAGGCAGGGTTTAGGCAGGACTGTCTTGTACGGGAGTAGCATGTGATATGTAGAATAAATAGGTTAAAGGCCTTTTTAATTTCAATGAAAATGAAATCCCCAAATCCCATTTCTCCCTGATTACTTCTTAAAAGCCCACTCCCAGTGCTGGGTAGCCTCAGAGTTCCTTATTAGTTCTTGCACATTGGTTTTTAGAATCACTTGGACAGTTTTTATAAAAACGCACATTCTGGGCCCCCACCAACATCTGCAGAATCAGATTCCCTGGAAGGCAGTTCCTCAGTTGATCTGGACAGCCAGGGGGGCTGGGCTATTTCCAGAGGGATTAGTAGGTTTCTTGACCTCCCTCCCTGTTTACTCTCCCCCCCCCCAAAAAAAAAAAAAAAGCAGCAGATAAGTGTCCTGAAGGAACAAAGGCATTAATTTTGAATTGCCTGTCCATTAATCCCTTGAACTAACGCCGCTGACAGGGGCAGGGGTGGCTGTGTGTGGCTAAAAGGAGGGGTGCAGTGGAACTCGTCTTGAGTGTGTGTCTGCTGTTTCTGCAGCATCAGGCTCTAATGGAGGAGCTAAACCGCAGCAAGAAGGACTTTGAAGCCATCATTCAAGCCAAGAACAAAGAATTGGAGCAGACCAAGGTACTAGAAAGAAGATGAAGGTTTAGAATTTGGTTAGTATGTGCAACTCAGCATTTTCAACAGTGCAAGGGTTGCTATGGTGAATGGTGAGAGAAGAGAGTATGTGGCCTTTCCCAGCCTCGGGGGAAATAATCTCAAAATTACTCCGGCCTATAGAAGGTTCTGCCTGTAAGACAACATCTGCTTCCTTCCCTCATTCGGAAGCGAAATGCCGCGGGTCAGACACACTTGCTGCGGTCTGATCATTGTCTAGGGTAGATGCTCCCTCGGTGCGTCTCACCGACACAGGCTAAGGGCGCTGTAATCAAAGTTAAAAGAAGTTCATCCTCATGCATTTATGTAATTACTTCCCACATCACATCAGTAGGACTCTCAAGTTAGGGGTTATTAACTCAAGTGCCCACCGAGGTCAGACGGGGAATGGGAGTGAGTAGTGTCCTGTGAGGACGAGGTGCACGGGAAAGGAGCCTTTGCCCCCACCACCACCCCAAGAACAACTCTGCTGCAGCCAGTTGTTGCCATCCAGAAACAGGCGAGCCCGGTGTTGTCAGATCTGAGTTTGCCACAGAAGAGGGAAATCCAAATGTTCACGTAAAATATCCTAATTTTTAAATATTCGCAACAAGTTCAGTTTTTTGTGTTTTTTAAAAAATATATTTTTATTGATTTTTTACAGAGAGGAAGGGAGAGGGATAGAGAGCTAGAAACATCGATGAGGGAGAAACATTGACCAGCTGCCTCTTGCACACTCCCTACCGGGGATGTGCCCGCAACCAATGTACATGCCCCTGACCAGAATCTAATCCGGGACCTTTCAGTCAGCAGACCGACGCTCTACCACTGAGCCAAACTGGTTTCTGCTTGTTTCGGGTTTTTTTGTTTTTTGTTTTTTTGTGTGTTTTTTTTAAATATATTTTATTGATTTTTCACAGAGATGAAGAGAGAGGGATAGAAAGTTAGAAACATCGATGAGAGAGAATCATCGATCAGCTGCCTCTTGCACACCCCCTACTGGGGATGTGCCCACAACCAAGGTACATGCCCTTGCCCGGAATTAAACCCGGGACCTTTCAGTCCGCAGGCCGACGCTCTATCCACTGAGCCAAACCGGTCCCGGCTTGTTTCGTTTTTTAATGGACAAACTAAACCAATCTGTAGGCTGTATCCAGTCCACAGGCCATCAGTTTGCATCCTCTGACCCCACATTACTGCCTGAGCCCGCCTGCATCTTGTAGCCTGCCCCTCCTCACAGACAGCCCCGGAGCAGAGCACAGAAAGGAGGAGATTCTCTTCACTGGGATTGATTGCCTTATCCTCTGTTAAAATCACAGGGTACCTTCATTCCCAACCTCCAAGAAACCAACCATCTTTTTAAACAGCAATTCATAAGTGTTCAGGGAACTTGACTCTAGTTAGAAATGGGCCCAGACCTTCTTCCCTGTCATAAGCAGTCTGACAGTCCTCGCTTTGATTAGAAGAGAAAACAAAAGATTAAAAATGAGCCTGGCCAGTGTAACTCAGTGGTTTAGTGTCAACCTGTGAACCAGAAGGTCACGGTTCGATTTCCTATTAGGGCACATGACCAGGTTAGGGGCTCCATTCCCAGTAGGGGGTGTGCAGGAGGCAGTCAGGTGATAATGTTTTTCTCTGGATATTTCTATCTCCCTCTCCCTTCCTCTCTCTGAAATCAGTAAAAATTAATTTGTATATTAAAAACAAAAAGATGATAAATTAACCAATATATTTCCTGAAAGTCATTTCCTCTCTCCCTTGGGGACTCCTAATACTTTATTTTTGGGGTTGAGGTGCTAACTTAAATGATGCTTCAAGGGCACACACCTGGGATGCTCCCTAAAAAGATTGTCCACAGCGGTTTGACCTCTTGCAGAAAGCAGAAGGAAATTGCACTGCAGGCCTTGCAGGAGTGGGAAGTGGCAAGCATAGAGCTTGGGGCCTGACACCCTTCCAGCCTCCAGGAAACAGAGAGATTATCCCTATTTTACAGAAGAGGCAGCTATAAAGAGCACAAGGGACCTTCTACACTAATTCAAACTTCTGCATCTATGAACTGTTCTTTATGTCTTCTGTTTTGTCCAATGAGTTCTCAGTTTGGGGAGTTATTTTATATTATATCCCCTCTGAACTCCAGTTCACATGGGATGCTGAATGTCTCATTCTGGCCTTGGGTGTTGGTGAGGATGGTATACTGCCTTCAGTTTTTCTCATTGGGTTAATTTAGGGAAGGAGACAGAAATTATAATACAAATACCGAAAAATCAGAGAGAGGAAAGAAAGGAAGACAGTGCCCCCTATTAGAAACCAGTTCTGAGAAATAGTTCTCCCTTGGAAATGCTTTGTTCTCTGTGTTGTTCTGCCAGGATGGACTTTTAATTTAGAATCCTGGATCCAATTCCGGGTAATTAGCCCTGCGCCCTGTCCTGTTTTGCATTCTCGTTGGTCCTCCCGAATGACGGATAGGTTGGGTTGTGTCTTTGCAGGAAGAGAAGGAGAAGGTGCAAGCACAGAAGGAGGAAGTTCTTAGCCACATGAACGACGTGCTAGAGAACGAGCTCCAGTGTATCATCTGTTCAGAATACTTTATTGAGGTAATTATGCACAGTGGCTCCCGCGCGCCTGTCCCTCTCCCGACCCTGGGAGCTCCGCGGCACGGGCGGCCGCTGCCACAGGGAAACATTCGGAAGGGCTTTTGCTTGTGGGAACTTCTTGTAGCTGACTTCACAGTGATGTCTACAGGTGGCCACTTCTCATCTGTTTTTGTAGTCTTCTTTAACTTTCCTATTTCCTTTCTTCTTACCTTTGTTCTCGAGTATTTACTTGATATATACCAGTAATCAATATTTTTAGCTGCTATACAGCCTTCCTTTCTGTTGTTGGGGAGAAAACAGAGCCGCATGGCTTTAGTTTTTGAAGAATCAGAATAAAGCTGCTCAATAAAGCTACTCCTCACCAAGAATGGGCGTGGTGCTGAGTGGGCGTGCGGCACAGCCTTTTAACCGGGCGGGCATGTCATTGATGTGCGGCCACTGGGAATTCAGTTTCAGGAGCTCCGAGGCCTTGTGAAAGTGAAACAGCTCTCTCCTACGTTATCAATTGTCGCCCGTCATATTTTTGCACAGACTCTTATTTTTTTGCATATTGTACCATTTATGACCAGTTTATCAGATACACAAGTTTAAATCAGGTTTTTAAGTGACAGTGCTTTTCAGCTTCCTTTACAAAGGAAGTCACATATGGCACTGCTTCCTTTTTTATGGCGGTCTTTATGAGGTTGAGTCCACTAAAAACTCTTTTCTGAGCACACCTGTTTCTTTTGCTCTGGATCCACTTTGATTTCAGGTTAGAAATTTCCCCATAATTTGTAGGCATTTGATTCGGGTTTACAGGCTCTACCAGGGGAAGACAGGAAAGGGGGCTGGGGACAGGGGGTGGGTTAGCCCACCTGGGCTTCTGCACAGACAAACCAGACTGACAATGTGGCCTGGGTTTTGTGTACTGCACATCGCCAGACCTTGTCTACTTAAAGTCGTGTTGGAAAGAGGTTTATTTTTAATCAGACAGTTTTTAGTGTTTTTTATAAGAATTTACCTCCTATATGCCGAAACCGGTTTGGCTCAATGGATAGAGCGTCGGCTTGGGGACTGAAAGGTCCCGGGTTCGATTCCGGTCAAGGGCATGTATCTTGGTTGCGGGCATATCCCCAGTGGGGGGTGTGCAAGAGGCGGCTGATCGATGACTCTCTCTCATCGATGTTTCTAATTCTCTATCTCTCTCCCTTCTTCTCTGTAAAAAATCAATAAAATATTAAAAAAAAAAAAAAAAAAAAAGAATTTACCTCCTATAGTAAACAGATGGTTTACAGGTTGGCCTTTAGGCCAACTTAGCATTTGAAACACACATTATTTCTGTGTCATTTGTCACATTCTAAAAACAGGATGAAGACTTTTGAGCCTCCGAAAAGTTGTGTCTTAGGAGGCATACATAAATCGGAGCCATGAAGATAATGGTTTATATTATTGGAAATGAAAAGCACGGCAGAAATGGGACCACTGGTCTGCTCAGCGAAACCCCTCAAATGACCAAGCTCCTCAGCTTCCCCCCTTTCCACAGGCTCATTCACTCACGGTCAGGCCCTGGCAGGGAGCCCATTACAGTTCTTCCATTTCCCCCTTTTTCTTCAGCCTTTTTAAATGCCTTTTACTTGTTTCTTTTTTGTTTTGTTTTTTTAAATATATTTTATTGATTTTTTTTTTACAGAGAGGAAGAGGGAGGGATAGAGTTAGAAACATCGATGCAAGAGAAACATCGATCAGCTGCCTCTTGCACACACCCCCATTGGGGATGTGCCTGCAACCAAGGTACATGCCCTTGACCAGAATCGAACCTGGGACCTTTCAGTCCGAGGCCGACGCTCTATCCACTGAGCCAAACCGGTTTCGGCAGTTGCCTTTTACTTGTATTTTATTTTTTTAGTTTCTTTTGAATAGAGAGGACTCCTATCATCCTACATACTGAATTTTCTGTGGGTATTCACTCCCCTTTCTATATTAAAATTGAGGTTCTGATTCCCCATTAGCAAGACACACATTTGTTATCCGTAAGAGAATTAGTGATGTACTTGTTCCAGACATTCACTAGCTTATTAGTCCTTCCGGTGTCCAATGACATTTGTTTGCAAGGTAGCTAACCCATGTTGACAGTGGCCTAAGTTGGTGGAACAAGACAGACAGCCTCCTGGGGCCTGAGTCTATGAATTTAACTTTTGAGGAAGAAAATAAACCATCTACTTGTAGCTTAAAATTTCCCATCCCTTGCCCAGCCAGGGTTGCTCAGTGGTTGAGGTTGACCCATGCACCAAGAGGTCACTGATTCAATTCCCAATAGGAGGCAGCCTATCAATGTTGATGTTTTTCTCTCTCCCTTTCTCTATAAAATCAATAAAAACATTTTAATTTTTTTCCAGCCCCCAAAATGGTTCTGGTACCTTTTGTAAGATCTCTAGAGAAGATTATGGTTGAAAACCCACTTGGTCTTGCTCAGCTTTGAGCTTACACCGACCCTGGGAAAGTTAACCTGGCAGTTCTGATATGTGTGTTCACATTCCCATTGCAGGCTGTCACCTTGAACTGTGCCCACAGTTTCTGCTCCTATTGTATCAATGAATGGATGAAGAGGAAGGTAGAATGTCCCATTTGTCGGAAGGACATCAAGTCCAAAACCCCCTCCCTGGTTCTGGACAATTGCATTAGTAAAATGGTAGATAATCTGAGTTCGGAAGTAAAAGAACGACGAACTGACTTAATTAAGAGACGAAAAGGTGAGTGGTTTTGTACAAGGTGAGCGCCTTCAATGAAGGACTTACAACTAACTGGTTGGGGAAGAGTAGATGAAGATGATGTGGCAGAAGGGGACAAGTAAAGGATTAGAGATAATGTGTGAAAAGGAGTTGAAGTAGCATTCACTCCCTTACTTGAGCACCGGGAAAGGGGGCTTGGTGTATGTGCCTTGGTTATGGGGGTAAAAGATGTGATTAGAAACGGATGGTCAGTCAGTTTGCTGTATTGATCACTAGATGGTGCTGTTGTTCAAGACAGTTTAGTTCTGTCCAGGTTTAAAAACTCTTGGGTTGGGTATATACAGTCAATTTTATAAATCAGACGTATACAAGTCAGAGATTCACCACTTCAATGCCTGAAGGAAGCACATATACAGGTTCTCTCTGTGATAGTCACAGCTTCATTACACAAATTGGGCATAATGTTAAACCAGAGGCAGATAAGTTTAAGCCTGCCATGTTATCATTGTGGGTGCTAATATGTTTACCAGCAAGTCTCCGAGTTGGAGGGAATTTGGTAAAGAGATTGGGGAAGGGGTGGGTGAATTTCCCTAACGAATCAGACTTCCATCGTGAACTCCTGCTTATTTAACGAGTGACCTTATCACCTCTGCTGCCTGCTCTGCTGAGGGTTGCAGAGCTGCTCTGCTGAAGACGTGAATGGCCTTTGGCAAAAGGACATGTCCTGGGGCAAAGCACCAGGAGCTTAATGGATAAGAAGGTTGGTTGACGTGCAGTGATGAGTGCATAGAAGCAGGGTGGACTTGATCATCACTAAGTCCCTTTAATAACCTGGTGTAGCACTGCCTCCTGAGAAAGCTGCAGAGCCCGCGTGCTGTGATACCAGTTGGCTGCACATAAGGCCTATCAGAGAAGAGCCAGGAGCCTGCTGCCATTCCAGGTGCTTCCCACCACCTAGCCAAGGGAATCCATGTTGACGTGTGCCTTTGGATGTACCTTTCCCTAAGTTCAGAGGGGCTGAAGCAATAGGATCTTCCGTTCACTGCTTCCTTTCTCCTCGCCCTCCAGCGGATAGCAGCCACTTTGAGTAGGGCCAGCAGTCTGATGCTGATTTGGGAGCAGCTGTGGCATGAGACGCTCTCAGGTGGTCCTCTACAGCAGAGGCAGACAGCCTGTGGGGGTGGGGGGGTTTGTTGCCATGTTAAACAAAAGTGTTCTTGAGCCTGTTACACTCAAGGAAGATATTCTGACCTGTGCCCATTTTAAGCCCCCAGAAATTGTTTTTTTTTAACCCCAGGAGCCATTGGTTCTGGCAGAATCCCATCGTTCCTCCTCTCCTCCCTCCTCCGTTAGCATGTACAGGAACACTGTAAGACGGGCCAGGAAACAATTGTCACTGAGGCCCCGTCTGTGGGGGAGGAAGAGAGGGACGCAGATAGTATGACAAGTTCCACAGCAGGGCGCTAGGAAACTGCCAAGAAGAGGCACTCCCGTCGGCCTGGGCAGGCGGAGTGCGGGAGAAGCTTCACGGAAGATGTGCCTTTTGAATGAGTTCAAGGTTCCCTAAGGGGCAGCTTTCCAAGCAAAGCACAGAGGTGTGAGAAGCAGTGTCTTGTTCCTAGCAGTGCCCCCTCATGTCCACACCAGGCGGAATGTCTCCATGGCGCTGAGCAGCGGGTCTACTGGGGCATTGTGAGTGCCTTCTGTTCGCTTTCCTCTTTCCTTTCCGAGGGAGCGGGAACCCCGGCACCCGGAGCTGAGCAGGCTCAGCCTTTGAGCTGAAGTGTGCTGGGACTGTCGGCAGGGGACAGACACATGGGTACTTTCTTCATCCAGCCCATTGAGGAGGTTTCTTCTCGAAAGTTCGAGCTCAGTAGATGGCTTCATGCAGCTTTGAAAGGGATAGAATAGCCAACTCCCTTTTCTCTCCAAAGGCTAAAGAGGGTATCTCTGCCTTCTGGTAACCGCAGAGCTGCACCGTAAGCCGATCGGCCTCCCCCGGCGGCACCTGCCCAGGCCGTTCTGGCAGCCGCCTGGGCTCCTGCCGTTATCACCGCGAGTGCAGCTGTGAGGTTTCCCCTGGAGACGGCAGAGGTTCTCGGCCTGGCTAGGGAGACGTGCCCGAGCATCCGCAGCTCCGCCGGCCTGCGGTGTGGGATTTAGCGGAAGTCTCGTTTCAGATACCAGCCTTCCGTGCCAACAGAAAGCTGGTTTAATCCCCAGTGCATGGGAATTTTAAAAAGGACCAAACTTAGGCTCTGGGAGCTCTGGTTGGCAAGCCTGTCATTGTCAGAGGACTCTTTTCTCCTGCAGGGGTTGCTCTCAGCACGAGTTCCGAGAGGGAGACCGCCTCTCTGGCTCCTCCCATAGAGAGCATCTGGTCGTTAGCTTCATGTTCCATGTCCCATGGGAGGCACAGGCCTCCTGGCTGATGAGCCATTGGTCCCTTGTAAACTCCGGGTGGCCAGGTGACAGAGGGGAGAAGGAAAGTGTTGAAGAAAGGGTGCTCTGGAGCTGGGGCAGGTCTGGAGCATCAGTAAGTGCTGGCGCCAGTAACTGTAACTGGCTGGGCCCAGAAGGAAGCCGAAGGAGGTTTGCCTGCCAGGAAGACATCTACCCCCTGCAGAGGCTCCCTCCCCTGTTACTCTGTTCCCCTTCAGTGTTTGGTGGTTGACAAGAGTGTTAACATTCCCGCTTTTATGTTTTCCCAGCAGTTTCTCTGGGTTGGGCTCAGAAAAGAAGAAAGCAGATTTTCTAGAAATAAAATCCTGTTGGTCCTTTAGGACTGATTTCCAGTCCAGGGGCTTTTTCACACCACATTCCCCAGCTCCATTGATACTGTCCTATTGAGCCGAGGCTAGTGAGAGTGCCATGGCCTTCAGGTGAGCTGAGGCGGAGAGAGGTTCATGAGCCACAGCTTTGCGGAGTCCAGAGGTTGAGGGTCTCCAGGAAGATCTGCCCAGGTCACATCTTGGCCAGGTCAGACCTGGGCCGCTTCCGGTAGCTAGGTGGAGGGTGGTCCAGGCATGGGATGCAGGAAACTGGCAGTCTCTGAAGAGAGTGCCTGCCTGCCACCTGGCAGGCCGTCCCTGATATTGCCATTGTCCCTTGCTGAAAGAGAGCCCAGTAAAGGCGTGTGTGGGGATGGCAGAGTTGACTTCATCCAGAGAGAATACTTGTTGGCAAGTACTTTAATCCTCCCAGTCCTGCTCTTAGAGAGTCAGGAGGGCCTGTGCATGAAGTCAGCTTGCCGGTCTGACATAGGATGGTGTTTGTCTAAGGGACATAGCTCTCTGCAAGGGTAGCGTGCGGTGGGGTGTCCACCTGCATGCACCCAAAAACACTGGACTCTAAAAATATTTGATTTAGTCCGGAACCACCCTCCATTTTTTTGCCCCTCCTTTTATATATATTTTTCTAAATTGAGATTTTTTATTCCTCTCCTGAGGATACATTTTTATTGATTTTTAGAGAGAAAGGAACAGTGAGGGGGGTGGAGAGAGAGAAAGGGGAGAGAGACAGAGAAAGGGCGGGGGGGGAGGTTACATTGATCGGTTGCTTCTGTATGTGCCTTGATGGAGATTGAAACCACAGCTAGGTATGTGCCCTGACCAGAATCAAACCGGAAACCTTTTGGTATTTGGGACGATGCTCTATCACACTGAGCCATCCAGCAGGGCTTTTTTCTTCTTTTTATTGTTGACACTATAAATGTCCCCATTTACCCCCCCACCCACCCAGCCCCCGCACCCCCTTCCCTCGGGCCATAACCACACTGTTGTCTGGGTCTATGGGTTATACATATATGTGTTTGGCTAATCCTTTCATCTTCTTTCATCCAGCTCCCCATTCCCCTCTGACAGCTGTCAGACTGTTCCATGTATCCATGCTTGTGTGTCAGTCAGTTTATTTTGTTCATAAGGTTCCACATATAAGTGAGATCAGTGAGATCTTATGGTATTTGCCTTTCTCTGACTGGCTTATTTCACTTAGCATAATACTCTCCAGGTCCCTCTGTGCTGTCTCAAAGGATAACAGACCCTTCTTTTTTTACGGCTGTGTAGTAAGTATTCCATTGCATAAAAGCACTATAGCTTTTTGATGTGCTCATCTGCTGATGGGCACTGGGACTGTTTCTAGATCGTGGCCATGGTAAATAATGCTGCTATGAAGCATATGCTCTTTCTGATTGGTGTTTTGGATTCTTAGGATATATTCCCAAAGTGGATCACTAGGTCAAAAAGCAATTCCATTTCTAATTTTTTAAGGAAGTGCCAATAGTGTTTTCCACAGTGGCTGCAGCAGTCTGCATTCCCTTTTCTCCACATCCTCGCCAGCACTTGTTGTTTGTTGGTACATTTGATGGTAGCCATTCTGACAGGTGTGAGGTGATACCTCATTGTTGTTTTAATTTGCATTTCTCTGATGATCAGTGACTTTGAGCATTTTTTTTTTTTTTTCATGTCTCTTGGCCATTTGTACATCCTCTTCTGGAAAGGTGTCTATTCAGTCCATTTGCCCATTTTTTAATTAGATTATTTGTCTTTCTGGTGTTGAGTTGTATATGTTCTTTATATATTTTGTAGATTAACCTCTTATCAAATGTATCATTGGTGACTACCATGGGTTCCTTTTCATTTTGTTGATGGTTTCTTTTGCTGCTCTCCTTTTTTCCTTCCCTTCTCCTCTTTTGTCTCCTAATGTTCTTCCTTTCCTTGTCCCTTAAGAGGTGTCTGCCTCGTTGCCCTTATTGGCATCTCAGATGGCACAGTTGGGGCCCTGCCGGCTTGGCTCAGCGGTTGAGCATAGTCCTGTGAACCAGGAGATCACGGTTCGATTCCCAGACGGAGCACATGCCCGGGGTTGCAGGCTTGATCCTCAGTGTGGGTTGTGCAGGAGGCAGCTGATGATGATTCTCATCCTTGATGTTTCTGTCTCTCTCTCCCTTCCTTCCTCTCTGAAATCAATAAAAATATTATTTTTAAAAAAATTGCACAGGTGGAAGGGACAAGGGCAGCATGAAAACTGTCACCCAGTGGCGAAGGTACTGTGATCTTAGAAGTCAGCTTCTAAGACGTGAATTGGAATAACAGAGTAGCCATCAGAGTCTCAGCCTCGCATTTCTTGTTGACTCTGTAGTCCTTGAGGTTTCTGGATGGTCTCCTTCCATCTGGAGGTGAAGCCTGTTCTGACTAGTGCTCTGTGGTGGAGTGTCTCTGTCCTTCACCGGAAACTGCCACCTCACCGCAGGCCCCGGACAAGCTTTCACAGCTTAGGGGATGGCCCTTCCTACAATGATGATCTTTCAGTGCACCCCAAATGCGTACATGGCTGGGTTTGAGGGAACCATGCCTCCCGCTAGGGAAGAGACCAGCTGACCTTTGCTTACCTGCCTGCAGAGTCAGGAGCTCTGGTGAGCACCGCCCACCAGCGCCACCACGACCACTACCACCGCCACGTTGTACTGAGGGCGAGACCCGTGCTTGGTGGCCAAGGCTTGCCCACCAGCCGCAGAGAAGGGCCCAGGGGAGGAACCTGAGCACCCGCGAGAGCTTCAGGAGAGGTAAGTGAGCAGCTCTGGTCGGGGGAAGCAGGGGAGGGTCCAGCAGGAGGGACTTCCCCTCACTTGTTGCTGTTTTCCACAGCGGAAGTTCTTCCTGGCTTTTTTGGTTTTGATTTCTGTAACGATAAAACAGTTACTTTGGCTCCCTGAAAAATGGACCCCCTCTTCCCGCTAACGTGCACCTTTAAATCGGCTCTTCAGACAGACTTGCAGGCAGGAGCCTCTTATTGGGGGAGACCCCTTGTGTGCATGTAGCGCAGCGTCACTGCCCAGGGCTGCTGCTCCGGGACGGTTCCGTGGTCCCGGCGCTCACAGCGCGCTTAAGTGGGTATTCCCGATGTCCATGACCCGTCCTGGAAACCGTGTCCTCCTGTCCTTCCCGCATGGAACCCCGTAGGATTAGGTCCGACTCCACGGAGGCATCTGCATCAGCTGCACTGTATCCTTCCAGGTGCCTGTGGCTGTGGTTCCTGAGACGCCTGGTAAGACCAGGCGTGCTCCAATATCTGGCAGGGCTCCTGCTTCAACAGCCTCCTGCTTTTCTGCCCTGGAGAGTTTGGACCTTTTTTTTTTTTTTTTTTTTTTTTTTTTTTACTTTTGACCCATGAAACCTGACAGAACCAAGCCCACAGGAACTGCTCTTCGCTTCCTTCCTCTGGACCTGCCTCTTTCTTAGTGCCTACTGGCAGGCGCTGGAGTGGAAGTGAGCAGAGCTTTCGGTCCAGGTGCAGGGCCTGGCCATTACAGTAGCGCCACGAGAAGAGAGATGCACGGTGCTAGGCAGAGGCCCAGGGACAGAGAAGGGAAGGGAAGGGAAAGGGGGGTGGGTGTTGCCACCGGGAAAGGGGCTAAAAACAAGAAAGCAGGGAGTGCTGAGGGCAAGCAGTGCTGAGTGGCGGGACTGCAGAGTGCCGGAGAGCAGGTTGAGCATGAGGCCGGTGGACTGTGAAGGGTCCCCTGGCCTGTCCGCAAGATTTAGACTGGGGCCGTGGGAAAGCTATAGAAGATTTGGGGTGGAGCTGTGGCTGTCCACGCTACACTTTTCTGGATAGGTCAGTGGGGCCGCCGTGAAAATGATTCATGGTGATGGGGACCAGAACAGAGGCAGCGGCTCTGGCCAAGGATGCTGGCAGGGCCAGAGAGGTAGCAGTGGGGATGCAGCGAGTGGCTGGACTTGCGCAGTGGGACAGAGGGTGGAATCTGCAGGTGTGTGGAGCTGGTTTGCTGTGAGGACGAAGGAGCTCAGAGATGCGGATCAGTCCGGTTTCTGTGGGGCATGGGGCGACGATGGTGCATTGCTGAAATCAGGCGCAGGTTGTCAGGGAGGTGAGTTTAGTTGTAGACTAGTTGTTTAGACCAAAGTGAGTTGAGAGTGCCTGAGGGCACTTATCAGGACCTGGAGCCCAGGAGAGTCTAGATTTGGGGATCCTGCCTGGGTGGTCAGAGCGCGGAGCAACGCCAGCCTGGAAGGCGCGGTGGTGAAAGAGGAGCAGGCAGGGCGGCGGTGAGGAGTGGCCAGAGGTGGGGAAGGGGGCGTGTGGGACAAGCAACAGAAGACATCGGAGTGGCGTGCATTGAGCCTTCCTGACCCCACCCTTAGCCCTTATTGCCTTCTAGACATCTCCCTATGTGTTTATTTCAAATACTTACAATACTGAAATTGTATCTGCTAGTGTGTTCTTGCCCTCCATTTGTAAACAGGACAGGGGCTGTGTCTGTCTGTGGGTGGTCTCGGGCCTGGGATGTTTGGCCGATCTCCAGTGAGTGCACATTTATCAGTGATCAGGGCTGCGGGGTGGGCAGTGTGGCTGCGGCTGGGGAGATGAGGATGGAAAAGTGTCCTTTGGACAGAGCAGGCCTCGTGGGGACTGGCCGGTCCGCAGCCAGTTTGCATTAACATGAAGAAAGAGTATGGGCTAAAGTAGACAAGAGCAAGATTAACGTATTCTTCAAAAAATGGGCTACAAGTGTGGGGAGCTACTTAGAGAAGGCCGTGGCCGGGAAGGATGTCAGGGTACAGGAATTTTTGGAGACATGAGAGATTTTAGCAGTTCACTCGCTGGTTGGAAGGAGCTGGAGAGGAGGTGCTGGGCAGCCGGGATAGGGACAGGGACAGTGAGTGCCTAGGAAGGCGGGCGGGGAGGAAGTGCAGAGCACAGAGGGAGGGGTTAGTCTCTAAAAGCAGGAGGTACGTCCTGTTCCCTAGAGAGAAGGGGACCATGTGGGAGGGCCGGCAAGGAAATGTGCGAAAGGGAGTCCCGAGCATTTCCTTCCTGTGGCTCCTGCACTTCTCTCTGAGCTGCCAGGGGAGGCCCTTAGCTGAGAGGAAGGGACGTGCATGGTTCTCCCAGCTCGCCGAGGCTGCCCTGAAGTGGGGGAGAAGTGACTTTCACAGCCTTTGCAGTCCTCCTACTGAAGTGTTCTGCACCTCGGTCTCAGGGAAGGGATTTTCCTTGGTGGCTGCCTTGTGCCCTCAGGATGGGCCAGGATTCCCGCTTCTCCTGGAGGCCAGCAAACAGCACCCCCCCCGCCCCACCCTCCTGGGGTCGGAAGAACTCCCGCCTCTCCCTCCAGGCACCATGGATTCAGGTCCCTCTTTCCTTCAACAGAAACTTACTGAGGGCCAGCTTTGTGCCAGGCACTGTTGCAGGTGCAAGGGACAGAAAGAGGAGTGAACATCTACTAAGTTAGTGCTATGGAGAAAAACAGCAAGGCTCGGGAGTGGTGGGCAGAGCGTCGGCAGTTTTGGCTGGCGTAGTCAAGGCGGGCGGCACCACGGAGGTAGCATTGCAGTAAAGCTCTACGGGAAGTGGCTGCTGCACTGGGGGCGTGTCCCACAGGGAGGGGACTAGAAGGACAGTGCTTGGGGCTGCTTGGAGTGTTGGACAGATAGTAAGGAGGCCAGGCGGCTACAATCGAGTGAGTGACCGGGAGAGGAGGTGAGGGCAGGATGGGGCGGGGGCAGGAGGCAGGTCCTGTGGGCCTGATAGGCCACTGGAAGGCCCTTGACTTTGCTCGTACTCTGGGGGAAGTGAGGAGCGGCGGGCTTTGAGCAGAGTGACATGATCTGACCTGTTTTCTCTCTGCAAGGCTGGGGAAGGGATGGAGAGTGGCAGTAAGGAGACCAGAGGAGGCACATGCAGCTCATCTTTTATTTCTCTTCTCTTTCTCTCCAAAGCAGAGAGATTGCTGTGAAGACCGTGCTGCAGGGGCCTGTGAAAGACTGTGGAGCACGGGGTGGTCTCGAGGCTCCTCTGTGGACTCCAGGCTGCGCCGGGCCAGAGCGTGGGAGAGCCGCGTGGGACAGAGTCCAGTAGGAAGTGGTCCGTCACGAGCCTCCCACGCTGGCCAGCCCGCCGCACCGTCCTCTGGAGCGCCCTGTGCTCACCGCCCGCGGCTCCCGGCGCCGGGCAGACTCTGCCCCACTGCGTGTCGAATGGTTATGTAGTTCCGTTTGCTCTTCTAAATCTGTTGTTGTTTTGTTACTGTTTTGGTGCCTCTGCTGACCCTCGTTCCGGACACCTTGAATGTACCCCCGTGGCTGCCCCTGGCGCCAAGGCAGCCTCTGTCTGAGAGGAGGGCACACTCCTTGTGAAAACAAGATGTTGTTTCCTGGAAATAAAATGTGAAACTGAACACCTGCTCGGCCGGGCTTTGGTGTATTTGTCTTCCTTCCCTTCCAGCTCCCAGACTGTCTCGCAGGTAAACACTGGCAGCTCATCAATGGCAGCCAAGGAAGCGACTGTCTCAGGTGATGGACTCGGTGAACGTCAGCCCAGACGCCAGGCCCAGGTCACGGCCGTCACACTGGGCTCTGTGAAGCCCCCAATATTGCGCTTCCTTTCATTCCGGAGCTGGGCACTGCTTCCCTGGCTTCGGGAGGGGGTGGCTTCCCTTTGTCAGCTGGGCTTTGCAAGTAGTTTCCAAGTCTGTTTTACCCAGTGTCAGAAAACGGGTAATGCTTTTCTGTGTGTGCTTAAAAAAAAAAGTAGAAGTCATCTCTCTTGCTACCCCCTCAGCAGAAGGGAAACTAGTATGACATTTGGGAGATAGAATCTTGGAGAAACCTGTGGCACCTCCCCTTGGTTACCAGCGATGAGAATGAGGGGCCGTACTGGAAGGTGCAGGGTAGTCGTTGGAAGCAAGGAGCTATCGGTGGTGTTGTGAATGCATTGTGTCAGGCAGTGATTTGCTTCTGGGTGGAAAGGGATTTCTCCTTTATCTTTTTATGCCTACCTGGAGAATCGTTCCTTGTAGTTTTCATAAAGGATTGGAAGCTATTGACTGGACAACTTTCTAGGCTGGTAGGTTTTCTCCTTTGTTGTGTATACTGTGATTGGGATGCCGGAGTCCCTCGTCGTCAATACCGCCTGTCTCACCAAGTGTCCTGATTGATTACTGGTTTAGTCAAGGAAGAAGTAAATAAACATAGAAAACGATACTACAAAAATATCCGTTATAACCACATAGTAAAAATTCAGGAGAAACAGGAAGAAAAAAAAAAAAAAGGAAGATTATTACCATCTTGTGATAATCTCCTATTTATCCTATAAATGTACAGACAGTCCTCTGGTTACGTCACACCTAAGTACAACGTTTCATGGTTACATTGCCATCTCCCATTTATTTATAAAAGAAAAAAATTCCGATGTATGTACATATGTGCTTTATGTTTTTTATTATTTATTTACCACAAGTAAAGGTCAGAAATTGTTATCTCTCTTTTAATTTTTTTTACTGTTTCACTTCTTTACTGCTGTGTGTGTGCTTCATGTGAGTGACGTAGGTGCTTATGTGGGGGGGGGGTCTACTTATGGTGAAATCTCATTACATAGCTGTAGGAACGGATCTCTAACGGAACCAGAGGACCTACTGTATTTTGTTTATGTGATTACATGGACATATATGAATATAAATGTTGACTTACTCTTTTTTTAATTGATTTTAGAGAGAAGAGGCAGGGAGAGAGAGAAAGA